GAGTCAGGTCCGTATTACCCCACCTAGCAACGTCTTCCTTCTTATGAATCTTTTTTTAGACAGCATGACAAATGGCAAAATATGTCAGTTTTTCACTATATGTGGAATTACATCTCTATAGAGACTTAATATTATATTCGTATGGAGACGTTAAGATTCGCTTTTCGAGACGAATCTCAGTGTTGTCAATAGACATATTGACTAGAACTACTTTGTTTTCTTTCCTGTGCGCGGGCATTATAATATTTTTGACGAAATCAACATGGTACTGAAATGTGAATACTGTACATGTTTTTGTATAAATGTTTCAGCCGAGATTTCATGCTTCAGTTGCACCGAAACATCGGGCATGCATAGATATGGCTAATCTGGGACTGACACTGTTCTCTAATGAAGTAGATACTTATTAATTAAATTTTTCATGGTCTTCTTATTACCATTGTGTGTATATGTATATATATATATATACAATGGCAATAAGTAATATATATATATATATATATATATGTATATATACAATGGTAGTAAGAAGATTAAGATCCATTATCGCTTAATTGATATCCTCTTGGTATTTTGTCACGCACAGTGATCTTTCTTTGAAATACGACAACTGCTGCTATCTTTTTCTTTACCCCAAACTACTATAGTTTCTCGGATCCGCGCTTAATACATCACAGAATCTCCTTTTTCTGTTATCATCGCTATACTAACATATTTATGTACGTAACACTACTCGACCGACTATGTAATCTTAAGATACTGCGTGATGTCACTTTCTTACCACGTTTAGGAAAACTGATTGTAATTTTCCATTTTACAACAAGGTATTTTCTTCATTTAGAACATAGAGACACTGCTGTGCTTATTAATTCATGACTGTGAATCAACACCTTTCAAGAAGGAATGTTATTTGGTTTGTAAAATAAAAATTAAAAAATTAGGAATTACTTAATAGAATTTGGAAAGTTAGTCTTTGACAGCTTCCGAAAAGTTTACTTTTAATGTAAATTAAGATAGACTATTTCAAGAAATATAACATCTACAAAAAATTCTTTTTAAACAGGCACAACTGTAATGAAAAACAACTGCTTAAATTTGAAGCCATGAAAGAAAGTTAAAATAATAAATGCCAATATATATAAGTTTCTAAACTCTAGAATTTAATTTAATTTAAATAAAAAAGGGAAGACATTCTTTAAGATGATGAATGCATTATATTTGCAAAAATCTATCTATTGAAAACGACAGCATTCCGTTTTCTAACTCAAATATTCAACAATTGTATGCGTAATTCATTTTCTGCAATTGGACGGTACTTCATTTCGTTGTTTACGGATTTCACTTAATAAAAATCTGATGCTGCCTATATCGACTAAATCAGAAGTACTGGACAAAATTTAAAATAAATTATTATTAATGTTCTTGCCTTTTCAGTGTGTTATACTTAAATGTCTGCAATTATTATTATACTCTAGCTCGTGCATTCTTTCCTACTTTAAAAGCTTCGAAATATACCAAGCTGATAAAAATGAATCAGGACAAGAAAAGCTAATTTTGAATATTACTTGAATAAAATCCAGTCTCCATTCTCTAACGCATTTATGCACTGACTCTTTGTAATGGCTATAATGTACTCTGTAAGTTTTTTTTTATATATAATCCTCTACGATTCGGAATGAATTTAATGTCATCTAAGGAATTATTATCTTATGTTATAGGCATTGAGTTTGACTCATAGCTATATGAATATAATTCCTGAATATTGCCATGTAAACAGAGCAACCGGCTACATTATAGCAGCCAAAGTTTTCCAAGCCTAAAAGAGGCCAAAAGAAGAACAACCGAAGATAATGCTAAAACGTTTCCGACTGTACCCTGAAAAATCATATTCCCCTTCCATTCAATAATAGACCATCAAAGTGACGATTTATTTGGAGCCGAATTCGACAGAAAATTAAACATAGAAGACCCAGTTTAAAGAAAGATGTAAACTGATTGCTTCATCGCAACAATGCACAGAAAACTACAGTGCCCTGAAGATGCAACAATTTTGTGCGAAAACGAAATCCTCTGTTATCATTTATCCTTTCACTTGGTAGATTAGCAATCCCGAAAAGTGTTTAGAATGTTACTTCTGAAGCATAAATTCAAATGACTAAATTGCATTTCAATTTCGTAAACGCAAAGTAGAACAAATCTCAGAGAACTTTAATTCAAGGAGTTTTTCAATCATGTTGAAACAAGCTCTCTCAAAGATTTCTTGGCCTGATAGCTAGAGTTCATAAACATCTTTTTTCCTGACGGAAAACTATTTTGAAATAAGGGATTTACTTTTTACATGTTAAAATTTCCAGCAAATGTTGCCCTTCCGAGCGAAAATCAGGCGTATGATGAGTAGCTGCTTTCAACGTTAGCTTTACTAATTTCTAAAAGAAATGTTACATTAGTAAAAGAATTTTTTACTTAAATTAAAATTAAAGTGTATTAAAATATCAAATCTCCTATTATTTAGGGTTCGGCGAGCTACGAGTGAAGTTAAGATACTATTCAAAAATTGTTGTGATGCCCAGCCTCGGCCTCAAATGATCGCTCTTTTACTGGCTAATATTTTCTCATAAAATCTGGATCTTCATAATATTAGGATCTCTCATCACATCAGTATCTTCATTGGTTTAGATAAATATTCTGTATTTTCTCTATACAACACATAATGTTTTTTAATGCTTCATCTTACTTATCGAATTTTACCAGTAATACAAAAGTTTCAGTTCTTACCAGTAATCCAGCTTTAGTTAATTTTCAGTTAGAGACACAAAATCAGTAACTTTTGTTGAAATATTCGTTTGGTGACATGTACAATATTTATTAGCGTACCTTTCTTTTTAAAAATTTTATCACTTGAAAAGCCATAGTATATATGACGATGAATACAATTTTACCACGATTTAACAACTTAGCAAATTAAAAAGCAATCGAAGAACAATTAATTGCGAAAACGAATCTAATTCTTCTTTTTTTTGGAATTCATTCCCTATGTATCCAAATGCTCAGCAATGGATGAGTGGCTAAGACCACTGAACACTGATATTTCGATTTGGGCTCAAATTTCGGCAACGAGCTGGTTGCATAGGCCTTTTCATGATTTTTCTCATGTATACCGTAGATTCGAGACAGTTTTCCTTAAAACGTCCTCAGCGAAGGCAACTCTTTTCTTAGAAAGTTAGTCCTCACGTACTTTCCGGATTTAAATAGCCAACCCACCAGCGAACATTTATATTAAAAAAAATCTGATGTGTACACCACATGACTTCCTTGTACGGAATATTAAATTATACGCATTTTTTCTTGCATTTCATTTAAACTTATTGGATTGAATTAATCTACTTCGCCGACAGCGCATAAACCACAATAGAATAAATGCATTCTTTAAAATTCACTCTAGTATTTGTTAATCATAGCCACACTCTGGCGCTAGATTCACTTAACAGTATTATATTTCGTTCATATTATAACTCATAATGCACAAAATTTATATCATTTAAAGAACAGAATTATCTAATCGTTGCCACATGTTCTATTCAAACACTATAATAATATAATAAAGCTAGAATGATGTATAAAAGAAATTAAGCAAACAAAACAAAAAAGAAACAGTTTTTTACAGACGATTGAGTATTTCTCATTCAATTAATTCAGTTCTCACTTCGCGAGAAGGCAAAAGTACATAAAAACTCAAAATATCTATATTAAAAATTACGAAGTAAATCTTAAACACTTATTTCCTCGAAAAAATTCCAGAAAGGATTAAGCATGATTTAATTGGCAATAATAAATGAATGCGTTATCTTTGTTGTTGCGAAGCTAAGTTTCTCTAGATTGGCAACAAATCCACTAGTCTCCTGTTTCAAATGTAAACATCAATGGCCGCCATTAAAAACAGGCTTAGCGGCAATTAAACAACTTAAAAATTGCTGATAATTCTAAAAATATTGCACACAGATTTACTAAAGGCATAAAATCCTTAACCGGAAGATAAAAACAACATAATTCAATCATTTTTAAAGGAAAAAATGCACAATTTACAAACATATAAGAGTAAAGAAACTGAGATCACTGAGCCAGGTAACAGAGTGGATATATATATAAATATATTTATATACGTTTGGTGCGGCCGATTGCAACCAAAATACGAGGTGCACATCTACATGTTATAGCAGTCCTATATACAAAATTTCAACGTTCTGAGGCTACTCGTTTTTGAGTTATGCGAAATACGTACGTACGTACGTACGCATGTACGTACATACGTTTGTACAGACGCCACGAAAAATTCTCTTCAGAATTAATTTTAAAGCAGTTTTATAATTTTTTTGGAGGAAACGAGTCTTTTATTCTGTCCTTACGTACAGATATCACGCAAAAACATCGATAAATTGCATTTGATAGCGGTAGAAATGGATATTTTCGTTGAAATATGCTGCCTGAAACTTTTCGCGATTACAATACTTCCTTTTTACTTCGTACAAGGAAGTAAAAAACAACATAATTTAAATTTTCCTGAGAAATAAGCAAGAAATATTTTCGGTCTCTAGAATAAAACAATCAAGAAAAAACATGGGAATGCACAACAAATGCAATGCTGGATTCATTGCTAAGAAACCTTAACTAACATCTCAACTGGCGGAAAGATTAATAAGGAGTTAAGAAATTTATTATTATTATTATTATTTATCTATTATTTATTTATACCACAGCAGCCACATAATCAATGATCTTACTTAACACCGAATATCCTCGAAACAGAATAAGCAGTACATGTATTACTCAACTATCTAAATTCACCCGCAGTATTTCATCAGCTTAAATAAATAGTTGGAAGCGGTGTGCTTTCAAGAGTTTGAATACAAAGGCAGGTTTTTTCCAACTGTTGCTGAAGTAATATTTTTGATAAAAATATTTGGAATAACAGCAATGCAAACAGCGGGAGCTTCTGAACCTCTTTTGGAAGAGATAATCACAGAACTATAAAATGATTATTTACTTGGCATTCTGGTAAACTACCTTTTCATTCGATCCGTTTGTTACCAATCCCACTCAGAAATTTCGAAAATGAAGTACCTCAGCTCATTCACGTTATTAGTCATTCTTATTGCTGCAGTAAGTAAAAGAACGTTTTCTTTGGTAACATTTTTGACTAATTTCTATGAGAATATTGTTCGCTCATTCTCAAGAATAACGTGCTGGGAATTATGTATTTTTCATTAATATGCAAATTAAAGCAAACTTTGACATTGATAATTTTTTGAAGAAAAGAAAAAAAATTTTAAAAAAATGCCGATTATTTGGGCATTCGATTTAAATCGATACATACAGATTTTAAAATGTTTAAAGAAGAAAACTGTATTTAATTTCTGAGCAACTAATGCAAACTGTCTGTTTCTATCCGTAAAATGCTCTGTGAATGTTTTTTCTTTTTTTTTTTTTTTTCTTGTGGATATTTATTTTTATAGCTTTCACTGTGATAAAAAATGAATTTCATTAGAAAAGAAAATTACTGTTTAAATAAGTTAATTTTGTGACACTGCGCCAAATGTTTACAAACATTTTACTCATATTTTAAACCAAATGAGCAAAGATATCTGCATATCATATAAACTAACCTACTTTTTCAGAAAAGTAAAATTATGTAAAATTTGCTACTTTTAAAATTGAAATTTTGCTTTATTTTCAAAGAATTGCTGGATTATTCCAATGATATCCACTTATGTAGAAGCAATTATTTTTAATCTGGAGAAGAAATTAATATATATCAAATTTGTATCAATTTCTTTCTGAGTATTTGAAAATACAAAACGATCATGCAGTTCGAAAGTGCTTTTATATAATAAAGACTTGTATAACATACAGTTTCATCGATATGAGATTGAGGTTTTAGTAAGAAAGAAATAATTAAATGGTTTAAATAGGTTTTTTTAGGTTTAAAGTTAAATATCTTGTATTGGGAGCAATTCGATATATCCAAAAACACAAAAGCCACATTTCGTGGCTTAAATGGTAAACGCAATTTTGAAAAATATTATTAAAAATTTTTATGCAGAGCCATATAATCATATTGCTTACATATTCATAATAATAGTTATAATTAAAGTGAAGCAATGGAAACTAAATCATTTCTCATACCCCTTACTGTACGCTAATGTAATTTAGAAATTGATTTAGAAGTGGATGTTTGAAGCTTCATGTTACGTTACTGAACCAACTACATTCGTTTAATCTGTCCTGTTTCGTATTTAATTATCTTAAGTAGAATATTAAGTATAGATTATTGATATTTTTTGGATAGATTATATTAAATTATGCAGAATAGTATCTAGGAATTGAAAATACCCTTATACTTTATATACATTTCCAATCAATGTTTTCTGCAGAAATTATAAAATTCGATCAGTTGCAAGTAAAATATCTTAGCTCCAGTATTAACCAAAAGTATATGGCGCTAATACGAAATTTGGTTACGTGAAAGATAGTTGATAAGACTTTTACAGTTTATTTTCAGCTTGTAATAATACATTAAAAATTAATTTATTATTAAGCAGCTTTAAAATTTCATTTTTATTTTATATAGGGTAAGAAAATTCTCTTTCTCCTTCTTCTCAGAAGGGAGTTCAGGAAGTAATAAGAAGTCGTGCTTAACTGAAAATTTCATGAGCAGTTCAATATACACAACTAAAATATTTAAATTATCACTTGAAGCAAATTAATGTTTTCATTTATTAAATTTCAATCTAAACTACGATTTTACGTTTTTTTCAGTGGGATGTTTCTAAATTTCATTTACAGAAATTTTTTTAAAGTAATCAATGGTTTTTGAAGCATGTAAAATTAAATTTTGTTTGTGCAAGTTCTGTTGTTAGCGAAAATAATGAGAGTTTTCTAAGATCATAAGCTGCGGTACATGTGCAAAATTTTTCTAACGTAATACAATTTTAAATATTAATACATTTTTCAACCTTCTCCTTCTCTAAACCCTCTAATTAATATGGAATTCCTACAGTACTCCTAAACAGTTCTGGCCCACCAGCGGCCGAGCGGTAAAGACGCTGAACACTGGTAGTTCGGTCTGAGGTTCGAATCCCGCGAACGGGCTGGCTGCATGGGCGTTTTCATGGTTTTCCCCATGTGTAACGTGTATACGAGCCAGTTTCCCTTAGAAAGTCCTCCACGAAAGGCATCCCTCCCTTTAGGCAGATAGCCCTCGTGTGCTTTGCCATAATTAAAATATACCAATATATACCAACCTAAACAGTTCTCGAGCATCTGTTACACAATCCGTAGTTTCCTAATAAGGAATAAAAGGCTTTTCTCTGCGTCCTTGTGGCGTATACGTTAGGACACTAAGGGGTATTTACTGTACTATTTTGTGACTGGATCATTTAAAATGCATCTGCATTTAAAATTTGGAAACAGTTCTTTAATAAAAATTTATTTATACGACTTCTGATTACAAGTATTCAATTATAATGGAAATTAAATACTGATTAAAACTATTTCCTATTCCTTTTATAAAGAATACTAATATACCGTAACACAACATATTATGCAACTATGAGATTTTTCAAAATTACAAAAGATAAATTTTATTGTTAATAGTCCTAGTTTTATTCATCTTCCGGATTTTGTTGCTCATTTTTCTATAACGTTGGATAGAAATCAATTTATTGAGTTCGACCAATATGGAAATCACAATAAATTCGTTCTGTTCTAGTCTAGTCTTCGAAATCAGTTTTAAAATATATGTTGAAATCCTTTGGTTTTGTAATTAGGTAGATGCAAATAATCTTTTCCGTTTAACTCTTTATAATGTAATGCCACTCTGATCTTCATATATACATATAAAAAGGGTGTTACACATTTTTAGAATGATTTCGATAAAGAATTTAAAAAAAAAGCAAATGTTTCTAATTAAATACTTCTGGGAATGCCTTATTATATAAAATGAGAAACATCGTCTGCTACTTTTAAATTTATTCTTTCAATGCGTCGCGTATACACAAGCTGTGATTTGAAGGATATGTTCTTGTCCTTTCCGAAAAGAAACATTGCTATTCCGTAATTTAAATATACCCGTGAAGTGCATGGTATTAAAATTTCTAACTGTAAATTAGGCAATACTATTAATAAGAAAAGGAAAAAATGTAATTCATTACTTCTACATGGAAAGAAGTCTCCAAACGAATACCCGAAAAAGGTACGTACTGTTTATTTCTAGTGTTTCTAAAATTAAATCATTTGTAACAAGAGAAAACACTCCTAAAGAGAAATTATGTCTATAAACATACAACTGTAGCAACCATAAATAAAATAATAAACCAAGATTTACAGCTTGAAAAGCTAAAAAACATAATATTCATCAGCTCTTACCAAGGCATGTGGGTCAACGTAGAACAATTTGTAGAACCTTAAATGAAAACTGTTTAGTAAGAAATAAATGCAAATACATTGTTAGTCTTGATGAAGCATGAGTTTATCTAAATAACTACAATAAGAAAGGGTCAATTTATTATAGGGAACGAAGAAAAAAAGTGTACAGCCCTGGTTCCGTCGTTGCAAAAAATGTTTCCTCACTCAGGGGTTTATGATTGTCACAGGATTCACTTACAGTGCAAAATTAAATGTAAGACGAGTGGAAAAAAATGTTAAAATTAGCTCCAGATATTGTCAAGAGAAAGTTTTACTACCGATATTTACAGTATAAATTCCATTTTTCATTCCGGTGTCTTTCAAAGAGTGGAACTTCATCAGGACAAAGCAACAAGTCATACTTCGAAATAGACTGCTGAATTTCTTGAAAAAAGGAAGACTGATACACGTGATGCATTGATTTCTTTTCAAAGTATTCTTGCGAAGTTTCCTGACGTTTCACCTACGACATATTGTTCCTATGGTCTCTTGATAAATGTTGTTTCTAAGCACTAGCCCACCACAATTAATGGACTCTGGAAAGTAAGGGAAAAGAACAGAAAATACACGTGGCAGATCTTACGAGAAGCCTTTCTATCACAGAATATTACTACGCAGACTTATAATACAGAAAAAGTCTATAAGATTCAGCATTTAAGAAAATACACTTTAAATTTTAAGCATTAATTAAATGGCCCGGTAATAGTTCTAAAAATATATAAACACCATCTGTATTTCTATTTTTTAATTTTAAACATTTCGTGGCAAAGCACTCTGCTTACATTAGTTATGTTCTGTGTTTCTTTTCAGACTAAATGCAAACTGAACATGTTTTTCAAATATCTGATAATTCCTGCTTCATTTACTTATTTCAGATCGTAGAAGTGAGTCAATGACAAGTCTAGCAACAACGTTTTGATACTTTTTTATACGCAGTTATATTTTAATAATCCTTTTGGTGTTAATTTGATATAACCAGTGGTGAGTTGCGGGAGACTCGAGTGAGTCCTTTGTTAAATATTTCTCTATTTTGCGAGACTGTTGGTCTATTTATTTGCCTGTTTATTTGTTGTTCAAAGAAGAAGAAAATAAAAGGATTTGACTTCTTCTCGCATAAAGTCGTGCCATATAATAAAATTTACTCATTATGTAACTTCTCTTATGTATAGAAGTTTTTTATATTTTAAGTTTTTTCCCGTATTCATAAAATAATTATTTGTATTTTCTATTTTTGTAAAAAGTTTAATATTTAGCTAAAATTTGGTATTTTATTTTTATAAAATGATAATAAATAAATCTCTATTAAATTTAATATTGTCTGGCAATGGTTTTATAAACAAGGTTGTTATTTCTCTAGAGAATTTACATAGGCCTGACTTAAAAAAAAAAAAAAAAAAAAAAAAAAAAAAAAAAAAAACCATCAGACAAACTGCTTAGATTTTCATGATGGCATTTTTCCTCTATAATATTTTTATAAAATAATTTTTTCAGTTAATTTAGAAATTAGATGTTTTAAATCTAATATATAATTCCAAAACCAAATGCTAAACATTTTTAAATTTGCAGGCACCCACATATACTTTTGGAGGGTGGGGAGGTGGTTGCCTATCTGATGAAGATTGCTATGAAACCGAATGTTGTCTCAAACAATTTGGCATCGTCGGACAGTGTCTCGTCAGACCACAGGAAGGTAAGGCATATTTGTAAAATTTCCTGTTTTACTACAAAAGTAGTCATTCAACAAAGCGTAAAGGTATACATGTAATTGAAATATACTAATAAATTGCAAAGCCGAGATGGAGAAGGTCATAAGATTACGGAAAAATGAAAAAGAGGCGTAATGATGATATGTATGGAATAGAAATGTAGAAAATATGCAAGTAACTGTAATTTATTCAGAAATCAGATAAGAAATATATGCCTATACGTTCCTGCATACTATCAATGAGGTTATCCCTGGAGTCTGAATCATATTCTGCTACGTTGCATGAGCTTGGACATTCAAAATATTAAGATTCAGAGATAGAGACTCCCTTTTCTGGTTGCTGAATGATGGCATCATTCAATAGCATGAGAAACATATCAACTGGAAATAAATGCAGGACAAAAACAATTCTTTGCATAAAAGACAGTAATACTCTCTGCAAGATGAATCACTATATTATTTATTTACGAATATTAGCCGATTATGAAGGAGTTTCCCTACAATACATTAAGACTACTCACACTGAAATACCAGTCGTTTTCTATGGAGTTGGGTTATAAAGCCTTAATGATGGCCTTAGTAGAAGACGATACGCTCGAACAAAATGTACTGAAGTTGCGCTCGAACAAAATGTACTGAATTATAATTCATTACCAGCTGGTCTTGACGACTGAGTTTCCTTCTTCCTCAGTCACCGTTTAAGTGGCGGAGAGCGTAAGGAATTATCTGCTTCTTCACCGCTTGCCTTCGTGAGGCGATTTAGAGAAAATCTAGCTAGAAACTTAAAGCCGAGAATTCGAATACGGCGAATGCTCGCGATTTATCGTAGGTCCTGCATTCATAAATATCTAATAGTTCTGCAAGTGACGCACGAACTAAATTAGGGTGGACAATAATTCGTCAACGCTTATATTTGGCGCTTGATCCCTCTTCTTCCTAGTCGTCCTTTAAATGGTGGAGAGTGAAAAAACTTTCTTCTTTCTTTTTGCGTGCCTTAGGGGTACTATAGTTTAGTGCCTTAAGGGTGTACCTTAATTTAGTACTTTAGGGTACTATAATTTGGTGCTTTAGTGCTCGCGTGCTTTAGCTGTATTATAGTTATAATACTATTATTTTTCACGTTTTCTAGTTTTAATTGAACATTATAGATACTAATGATTTTTCGTTTAGCTCGAAAGGGCTGTTTGTATCGAAACACGATTTTGCGTTCTTTCACTTAAATGAATTCTTTTGCTTTTCATTTGAATCTGTTGTCATTCGTAAAAATTTATTTATATTTAATCTATCTATTATTAATTAACAAACTCAAACTATTTAAAAGTAATGGATACAGTTCTTAAGAAAACTTTTTTTTTTTTTTTTTTTTACTTTTTATTTTTAATCTAATTGAAAAAGGCATTTAACTCACAATAAGAAACATTAAATATTTTTATAGAATTACATTACATATCTGAGCTCAGTACAGTTTTACCTCTAACAAATATCGATACATAGCAAGAATCAGACTCAAAATATATTAGCAAAATGAAATCCCATTACATAAAAATGTAAAATTGTCAGTGCAATGATTTACAAATTATCAACTTTACTATTTTCACTTACTCCAACATTTTAATGAATACACCAAAAGGTTTGTATTTTTTATGTAACTTTGTACGTATATAACGTTGTATGTAATTTTATGTTATTTTTCTTTTATGTTTAAATGTAAAAACTCCGATGTATAACTCTAGGATTACTTTGAAATAGCATATAGTCAGTTCAAGTTTTTCATATTCTAGCTGATTAGTGTATTGGGGCAATATATTTATTCGATTCTGTAGTGAAGTGTCTGTTGCCCCAAGCTATTTTACCTATTTACCTGTATATAAAGGTTTTTTATTCAGCTCTTATAATCATCTTAAAATACAATAAATTTAATTTTAGTTTTACCAAAAACCAACCAACCAAAATTAATGAATTTGGTTGGTTGGTATGGTTTGAATGAATTCATTAATTTTAGTTTTACCAACCAAAATTAATGAATTTGCTTTTCCTTTTATTATAAATTAAGAAATTAATGTCTGGAAAATAGTTTCTGAAAATTCTGTCCATGAATTAATCATCCTTGAAACTTTTCACATCATCTTTTCTCCTACTCAAAACACATTTTATTAAGGCTGCTTTGCTTAACTCAAAAACTTCAGAAATCTTCTAGAATGGTGCTAATTTGTTTGTGGAATAAAATTTAGGTTCTAAATTAAAAATTTTAAAGTTTTGAAAGATAATATTACAATATTTACGATCCTCTAAACTTGTAGGAAGAAAGGAACAAAAACTTGGTCCTTGATGCGTTCCTATAACAAATAGTTATACGATGCAAAATTTGGATTTCTTAGTTGTCGGCATGCCAAGTCTGTGTTTTGATCTAAGGAAAATTTTCATCTATACTGTGTTCTAAAATTATATGGCTGTACAATAATAAAAAAAACTCATTTTCGCATAGTTAAGCAAACAAAAAATGTTTCTATTTGATTAGCGGCCATACTCCTTGGCTGTCGTTAATGTGAGGCTGACATTACGAAAACAAACACAAAGAGGAGATAATAAACTTGAAGACTTCCTATATGAAATGATAATTTAGTAAATACTTTCTAATAAATAAAAACACTTTCGATTTATAACTCTACCTAAAGATTAATTTATCTGTTCATTTTATGTTAATTATGTGTGTATGTATAATTTTGCAAAAACGAAAAAAAGAAGCACATGAAAAATTAATTCCATCATTTCGAAATGTCTTTATGCTAATTCTTTCATAAACATGCAAATGATTAAATTTTCAAGGGTAATGAGTTCTCACTTCGATCATAGCGCTAGTTTCTACTGCTCAAATAACATCGTATAAAACAGGCAACAATTCTGGACAATTTACATTTTCTCATTGTCAGCGTTGTAGTTCCCTGGAGACGCGAACAATAATGACAACTGCAAGAGTCACTGAGCAATAGCCAGCTACCTGCACCATACGTAAACGGCTGTGCAAAGCTGTTGGAAACAGTGGTTGCTGAAAAGCACTCATCAGCGGAATCGAGGCTCTGGAAGGCGAAGGTGAACGAATACCAGGAAAGATCGAATGATTGTGTGAAAGACCCGAACTCTCCTGAGGCAATAATTGTCTGTTACCTAAATTTGCTCACTACATTCTTTTCCATATCACCCATTTTACCTTCCACCATTCCAAGGCACTTACTTGAGATGGGGTTGAGCTTAATGCGGTCTTTTTGACGTCTGCCTTTAACACCTCAATATCGGCAAATCCATCCAGAGCGGCAGCTACTCGATCATCATTGCTGAAAAGATGATTGACATCGAGTAATATTTATCGATCAATTCAGCTTCAGTCTGGGAACAGAAGACCATCGGGTCCATGTGTAGAGGCACCAGGGCCAGCGGTCCCAATAAGACTTTGCTTTACAGAGGCATACAGACATTACCCCTGGTGTGGTAGTGTGGGGTACCCCTGGTACACACACTGTTTTACACATACCCCTGTTTTACAGAGGCATACAGACATTACCCCTGGTGTGGTAGACTTTCGCTCTTACGACAGCATGTCGAGCCTAATCATCCTACGTAAACTTTAAGAGTTTAACGATATATGGATGACGTCCTGCCATCGTTTGCGTTATCCTTCAAAGCACGTCCTCCTGAAGCCATTTCCCAACAGAATACCGTTAGACTTGAATAAGGTTCTGAAGGTATTAAGAAATAGTAGGAATGAACGTAGCGCATGTTACATTTATTATTTTTTTCATGGATTATTAATTTTTTTAAGTTCCCACTTGTCTCAGACTTTCGTTCTTATTATTTAGAACCTGTACTAATCTAATATGACAAATTTCTATTATTATCTCATGTGTTGCTTGGCGTTACAATTTTGCAATATAGCACTGGATTTGGTTTTATTAGAATTTCGTAATTGTTTTCCACATTTAGATGAAATATGTACTCCGAAGCCTAAACACAGCAGGATGTTCCAGCAAAGCATGTGCCCCTGCGCACCTGGATTAGAATGCATCATTAACGGGAATCGGAAATACCCAGGAGTAAGTATATTGAAACTTTTCTTATGCCTTAATGAATTTTACTTGCATCTGCGATGACATCGCTCACCATGAAAGACATGGGTAAATTAATGCATGGGCTAGAAGTGCAGTTTTTTGTTTATTAGTTCAAAGCCTCTTGTCATCGCCCTAAAGGACTTAATATCAGGCCTCAGTTCTAGCAGGGCAGCAATGAACGCTGATTGTAGCTGATGGTGCTATCCATAATGCCAAACATCACCATTAACAATTTCAAACACAGTTTTTCAATAACAAATGGTTAGTTTTTACTACTAAATAAAGATATGAAGCCACAACAGAAATAAGATCATAAGACAATAAATCTTGCACTGCACATCACTTGCTTGTATGTCAAATATTTCTCTTTGGCTAGTTATGGCAGCAGTCCGATGATGAAATTAAAAATGAAAACTAATTATGTAATGCTAAACAGGGCAGATTAATTTTACACTTTTCTGAGTAGCAGTAGCTTATTTTATATCATGTCCTCTACCCAGAAAGAAATACTTCTTCGTAACTATCATACAATGCATAGCTACACGTGATGAGTTTATTTAACTTCGATTCTTACAAGTTATGGCAGCAAAGTTCTTTTAGTCTTTTGCATAATGGGTATGAAATATCAATTATATCGGCATCTCACATATTAGCATAGAGATAAACTAAAGATGTTTATTCGTTTTTGACGTTTATAATAAGAGAAATTTGTTAAAAAAGACTGAACGAAAAGTTCTTCGAGCATAATGACCATAAAGTTGTGAAATAATTAAAATTATCCCACTCTTATCATTAATTAATTATATAAATAACTTAAACTGGAAGAAAAACATGGCAAATTAAAATTTAAAGATGGTACTGCTAATTTCACATGCTAACCTGCAGATACTATAAAAATAGATTCTTTTGACGCTTATCAGTGACAAGTATAGTGTTAAGTTATTTTTTTTTCTTCCTTTGCATTACGTTCGTGCGGATTTGGAGGGAATAAAGACGACAGTACTCGATGAAGTATCGAAACACACTTTATTGCCCAGCCCAGTATTATTCAAAACAGCTCCAAAGTCACTTTTACAGTCGTCGAAGAACTACTATACACACGCTGTAACAATTAGCGACACAGCCTCCAGGTTTTCCAGGCTATAACGATGGAGACAGCTTTACAGGAAAGCACCAGAGTACAGCTCCCGACTCTGCTTCGTCGTTCTCGGAACTTCACGTACTCTCGAAACTCTCCACGCAGACACTCGCAATGCATTCGACGATACCCTAGAGTACAGCTCCCGACTTCTCGATTCCGTCGTTCCCAGAGCTCAACACATTCTCTCCACGATGCACTAACCGCGATACACTAAGAGACTCTTTCGGTGTACTCGACGACCCACTCGGCACTCGCTGACTGACTGTCAACTCGATCGACTCTGCACGGACTAACTCTTCGCGTACCAGCAGGGTTTATATAGTTTTTGGCTTGTGTTCGAGAAAATTCTGGGCTAAACCGGTAAGAATTCGTTCCAGAAAGTTCTCCATCCGTCTATGGCTAATCGCCAATTTTGCTGCCAAACGTTTCCAAATGGGCGATTTCTCGCCAAATATGGAAACCCTGCTTTCATTTGCCATTTTCTGGCAACCCTAAACCTGCTTTGCGGGGCAGACCTGGACATTTCGTAACAATAGCATAAAGAAAGCTCAAAATTTGATAATCTAAAATATAATATTAATTCAAAAGTTACCTCCTCCCCGAAAAAAAAGAAAACTCAATTTTTTTTTTAGTTTTTAATTGTAGAATAATAAATTGAAAATTCATAGTCTCTACTTTTTCTAGTGATCTTTGGAAGAAAAAATGTATTAATCTTCTGAGAGAATCATAGCATACTATTCTTCAAGCTCCAAAGCTTTAAACTCGAAACAGTATTCAAATTAAAATAAATAAAATTTTATGCATATTAAATAATCAAATAACAATTAGGCTGAACATTTAACCAGCACGATATTTTTGCTTATAAATTTCGACTTTTTATTAATGAATTTTTGTATGTTAGCTCACATTTGTCATATTAATATAATTGAAATAGTCCTTTATTTTCTATTAAAGAATTTTCTAAATTAGTGAAATTTCTTCATATAGATGGGATTTTCGAAGCCCCCAACATGCCAGCCAGTTGCTCAAGCAGAAGAAAGCAATGAATCGACCGAAAAATAAACAAAAGATGTAGAAACAACCAAAGAATGACTCCTTCAGTATAATTAAAAATTGCGGTTATAAAATGAAATGGATTTTTTACAGCAAACAATGTCTAAAGTTCTTTCAATACATGGAGCAATGAATAGTTTATTCGAGTGGTCTCAAACTGTCGGCCCACGGGCCGCGTGTGGTCTCCAAGTAGTTTTATGAGGCGCACGAATATATTTTCTTTAAATTAATTAGCATTATTATTACAAGAATATGAAAAAAATTAATATTTTAATAGATTCGAACGCAATTTTACATTATCTTCATTGCCAAAAACAAACGTGAGATACGCCTCGGAAAATCTAGAAATGGAGTTAATTGATTTACACTGTGCTAAAAATCTCATTCAAAGATTTGAAGATACAAATTTAATTAACTTTTATGAGTACTTGTGTTACGAATTTTTGCAATAAGAATGATCGCTTTGTTTGAAATACATTTACGTGTGAACAGTGTTTTCCCTACTTGAAAATTAATAAGCCTACGAAAAGAACGAGACTGCCGATGGGTATCTACAAACTGGCGATGAAGACAATTTCTAGTAAATTTTCTCAAAGATTACAAATTTTCTGAAAATCGGAACGCCATGAAATGTTGTAGCTGAAAAATATAGTAAAAGACACAGTAGTTTATAATTATTTAGATACTTTTTTCTGTATGCTTCATAGAAATATATAGTAAATAAAAGAACGAGAATAATTTGCCATTAATTATTCTAGATTTCAGGCCAAAAATAAGTAAAAACTTTAATTCTTCTTGGCGTCATTTTTATATGTATGTTTTCTCAAATATCTAGTAATTAAAGAAAGTAATTAGTCATTATTTTTATTCAGACCCATCAACTACTTTCAGATCGTACATTTGGCCCGCGTGCAGTTTGAGTTTGAGACCATTGGTTTATCTCATTACATCAGATGTATAATATTTAAATTTTATTTAAGTATGTATATTTCAGAATTGTGTAAGAATTTATTGTGAAAAAAGAATAAAGTTGTAAAACAAATTGTTGAAAGTCTTGTTTGATACTTATTTCGTATACATATTTTATAGAAACAAATGGAGTATTTTTAAAAATAAAAAAGGGGTAAATATTCTTGAGAAGTAATCATAAATTTCTCTGAATTTACTTTTATTATTTGTATTACGATAACTGATTTTTACAAAAATGAGTTTCTTGATTTTAACTAGGTTTTTACACTTCTTATGTAATGATACAGTTTATGTATGACTACGAAAGTGAGCAATTCCTCTCTTTTTTTCTGTTAAATAAATTTATAATTACATCTATGCAGAATCCTCGATGTTTTGGAGCATAACTTGTTGAATGTCTCATACATCGAATTTTCGATTACCAGAAATAATTTTTCTTCTGCTTACAGTTTAATCGTCTTTATACTTGTAAGTAAAATAAGGAAAACCTAATTAAGAGAATTTTTTTTATAACTGTTGAAGAGAAATTAATTAAAATAATGAAAATAACTTAATGTAAGCTATTATGGCAGAGAATGAGTCAAATATTAATAGTGCTGATATAAGATAAAAACATTATTTATAAAAAATTAAATGATCTAAAATGTTAAAGCATCTGAAAATATAAAAACTAAGTGTTAAATCTTCTAAAAAATATAAAAAACACTGTGAACTATTTTACAGTTATTTCCTTTTAAAGTAACCAAACCGTAACAAAACGATAAAATTTGTTTCCATGATAAACGGGAGTAACTATTATTAATACGAAACGAATGAGTAACTACATACCTTTTATACCTTCAAACACGAACAGGCCACTATGTATGCTATTGTTGTAAAATTTCATTAATCTGGTATGTTCATAGATTATCTGGCATAAATATGCCGATTCAAATTGCTATACAGGAAGATTATTGGCTATGGAAATAATTGTGGCTCCAACATTACGCCGATTAGATAAATGGGGTACTTCAGCCATTTAACATAAATATTATGCAGGTTAAAAACTGACTGAATATTTGAAAAACCCTTTATTTTAATTCCTGAGTCCATTTTCCCGCAACTGTTAAAGTTAAATAGTATTATTACTTTTATTCTCCCTTGATTAATTTGTGATTTAATTTTATCGAGATTTGGTATAAAACGTTATTTTAATTTTCAGGTTTATTTGCCCACAACTGTTAGAATTAGTCTGAATCATTCAATTGGCTAACCATTTGCGTGATTAGCCTCCTAAAATAATAATTATAAAAAAGCAAAAGAATAGAATGATTTTAATTATTTAGTGCAATTTTCACTTTGCCCAGCTAGTGTAATGTCCACCAGCGGACAAGCGGTAAAATCTCTGAACAATGGTAGTTACGATCTGGGTTCGAATGTGGGCGAATGGGCTAGCTGCATGAGCGTTTTCGTGGTTTTCCCCATGTGTAACGTGTACACGAACGAGTTTGCCTTAGAAAGCTCTCCACGAAGGCATTCCTCTCATTAGGCAGATAGCCCTAGTGTGTTTTGCCATAATAAACGTAACCATATCAAATCTAGCGAGTATAATTTCGAAAATATTTAATGATCTTATTAATAAAACAACGATAGCTTTTTATTCATTATATTAATTTAATCAATCATTAAGTGCAACGATCCTAGACTTATGACATAATAGATATTGTATAGTAAGCTGTTGTGAACGCTCACTGCACAATTTCTGTTACATCTCCAGTAAACACTTAGCTCACTGTACAATTCCTTTAATATGACAAATGCATTTAATTATGCTTCGAAGAAGTCTGGAATGAAGAAAAATATTTTGAAGAATTTTATTTTTCAGGGTGTAAGGTCCCTCACTTGAAATTCTAAGTTAATGTTGGAAGTGAGGAACCTAGGAACTGATAAGCGAATAATCGCTAGAGTCGAAGACAGGAAACAACAAGAGAGAAGGGTAAATAACCCTTTATTATTTCTATAAGATTTAACAAAACTCCGCGTGGGAGTGAACAAATAAAGTCCGCACTTTGGACTTGAACTTAAAAGACTAAGAATTAAACTAAAACTAAGATTAACTAACTAAGTATAGCCAAAGCTATCAAGGTTCAATGATAGATGGTCCCTTAACTTATTTTACTACGAAGCTTAGCAAGGGCCTGGGTATGGCCGAGCGTAAAACAGCTTTGAGAGAGAGAGCGCCCAAAAAGGCAGCCGCGTAGTTCAGAAACTCTGTTTCTCTCTCTGTCTCAGTAAGTAACTTCGTGGTTTAAAATACCGCTCCTTCTCAGCAAATTCCAAAACTACATTCTGGCCGGAAGTAGTAAGTTGAAGTTAAGAATTTGACAGGAAAGGAACTTTAACTTAAAATTTAACTGTTAATAAAATTAACATAATCCTTACAAGGGAACAAAAATAGCTTACTGTTTCACAATTAAATATGGAATATGAATTATGGATTAGCTTATTTCTTTCCTTCAGCCCTTCTCAACTGTATTTGTATTATTTTTGGTAGTATTTTCCAATTATGCTGATAGCAATTTTATTAAAACAAATATCAATTGTTAGAGTTTATTTTGCTTTTGCTTTCCTTGATGAATTCGATGGTGGCGGATACAAAGGTTGTTCTATAGCAATCAACACATATATTATTTCTGTAATAAAACTCTTTATGTCTTATACAACAAAGCCTGTCAAATCTTCCTAAAAAATCCGAAATTGAGCTTAAAGCGATATCACCGAAAGATATAAACCATAGTGGACGGACCAAGCGTAATGAAATTTCTGTATGCACTAAAAAATTAAAATTTCTGTATGTACTAAAAAATTTCTGTACGCACTTTTAGCAAAAATTCGGCTAGGAAAGACAATTAAATACATTTTTATTTAAATCAATGATAATAAAAGCAAAAGTTAAAAGAAGTTAAAAAAATTATTATGAAGAGATACTTTAAATTGCGTAGTTTGTTAATGACTGACAGATGATTGAATTTTAAGAGTAAATATCATTCACTTTGTCGAATGGCAACACATTGGAGCCTCGAATTTTAATAATATATTGTTTATTAATTTTTATTACGATTACGAAAAGATTCGGAATACTGAACTTCAAATGAATGTTGAATAATGACAATAAATTCTGCATTTTTTATATACTGATTCCTGCATGAAAGATTTGGAATACTGAACTTAATATTGAAACATGACCCCGAATAACCCTGCATTTTATTGTAAACTCTGAATATTGAAATTTAAAGAACACACAAGTTTCCTTCGCGTGGACAAAATAAATGCTTATATTTTCAAACACTCAAGAAATCTGTCACAGAAACCAACATAAACCGCATAACGTATTTTTAAGTATCTAAACTCAAAAGCTGAAAATTATCAAAAAAGTATCGAAAATTCATTGACATATACCAATAAAGAGAAAACATTTTTGGAAGTGTCTGAAAAGACTACCGAAAGCGCCCTCTCAAAACGTTTGTGAAAACACAACGACATCGCAAATACGTAAATTTCGTGGAAAATGAAATTATTTGAAACTGTTCGAAATATTAGTTGTAATGAATTAAAACAAATATTAAGGTGTGAATGTAGACATACATGTATACTTTCGCAAAGAAACAAATATATAAATTTTTAGGAAATTTTTGCATATTTTCCATTTTTAGTTGTAATATTGATAAGTCAGAAGAATTTTCTATACTGAACATATGTAACTACGAAATTCTTTGGAAAAACAGAATGATAGTAATCACATCAATATTTGATTACAAATCAAATTATATATAAGTACCGATTTAAAAATTAACGAACATGATAAATTACAAATAAAAACATGATAAATTCATGAAGTTCATAACTTATTAGTACAGTAATTTATCATGTACTAATAAGTTATGAACATTTTCTTCGAGTAGAATATCGAGATAATCTTCTAAAATTGGTACAGAAAAGTTCCGTTTGACCCTTTACGTTTTACTAAAAACACAGTAAAGAGGTCAATATAATAGTAAAACAGTAAGAGTTTTTTTTTTAAAACTTTTTTTTTAGTTATCTACTATGTTGGATCGCTGTGTGGAGCACATGTCAATATTACCTGTTATGTATGATATTACGGATAATTTTATTTGCTAAGGACAATATCCGTGATAAATTAAGTGTCACATGTTTTCCGAGAGTTTCAAGAATTGAATGTAAAATAAAGTAATGACAAATTTAAATATGTATTTTGAAATTTTTTTAAGTTAACTATTATGTTGAATCATTATATGAATTCATGTCAGTATCACCTGTATTCATGTCTGTCTGTTTTATATATAATGCTTATGCATGATTCTATTTGCTAAGCCCGATGAAATGAATGTGAAATATTCTCAAACAGCAGCAAGAGTTCAGTGTTATATAAAATAATATCAATTTGAAAGGAATATCTTTTAGCTTAAGTTAAAATAAAAAGCTAGCATAAAGTTAGAATAAAATAATGATGATCCTGATTTAGGAAAAATAGCTTAAGATGAGAAATTTTTATACTCCAAGTTAGGAAAAAAGACAAGCTTTCATTTTTATGGCTGAAAGTTAATTCTATTTAGACTGCTTTTACTACTTTAGTTACTTGGGGAATTTCGTAAAGGATTTAGAGATGAATGTCTTGGACTGTTAGTACGTCGACCAAAGACTGTACCTTCGCGAACCATCAAGAAAGGTGATTTAGTCTTTGTAGAGGACGATAGCAGGAAAAGATCAGATTGGTCCATGGGTCATGTAATTGAAACATACCCATGCATCGAAACCCAAATAGAATCGCCGGCACTTGGATTCTCGTAGATTATCACAGCATGTTTTAGAGAATTTTTGGAGATTTTTAGAGCATTTTTGGTCATATCAGAGCATTTTGAGGCGTATGCTACGAGCAATAAAGGAAATAAAATTACTTTTGAAACTAAAAAATAAAGTTAACCTTGAAATAACACTGTCTTAGCTCCTATGAACTCATTTTTACTAGGCATGCTTGTCCTATCGCCAGAATGATTATGTATTATGATCTATCATGACAGGCAT